GTGCTCGCTCCCGGCAGGGCCGCAGAGTGGAGGCTGCGTCACGGCGCCCGCGAGCGTTAGTGCGGCGGTCACTGCAGCAGACTGGAAGCCCAGAGGGCGGCACTTTCCCCACCCAGGGGTCTGACTGTCGAGGCCGAAGCACTGCGTGGGAAGCGCCGGGCCTTCCCCAAGCGACTGGCGGCGATGCGTACTCCCAGCCAGCACGGAAAAAGTCGGGCCGGCACGGCGGGCAAGGACTACGGCGCCTGCCAAGGGCTAAAAAGCGCCCGGCCCGGGGGCGGGGCCTAGCGGAGGGGCGGGGCCGGGCGGCCGGCCGGGAGGGAGCGTGCTCTCCCGCCGCGTGCAGGGCGGTGCGCGTGTCTCCCCGGTGCAGCCAGCAGTCCGGAGCTCCGCCGCTCGCACCCCAGGCTGCCCGGCCGGCTCTTGGGCTGCACGGCTTTTGCCCTAGCCGCGAGACTTAGTGAGCAGGTAACAGGGAGCCTTGCAGGACCTGGGAGGGGATGACGAGGGTAGAGGGGAGTTAGAGGGGCGTCTGGACAGGAGTGAGGGTGAGGGGCGGAAAGACCTTAAAGCGCGACGGTCGGGTCGGAGCTTTGTAAAGTCGTTTCACATCTTGAGCCCTCTGCTCTTCCTGGGAGCCCTGAGTTAGAAGGGCGCTGATGCGCTCACTCGTGGGAGACTTTGCGTATCCCATGGCTCTGTGGTTGTTTCAGGCTTTGCCTCGCCGCAGGTTGCAGCTGGGGACACACCGGCCGTCTCTTTTTTTGAGGACTGGCGCTTTACCCCGAATCATAGGGATCGGGCGCGCCAACTATGGCTTGTCTTTTCAAAAACATGAAATTCTGCATCTCTTTCCCTTTAGGGGAGTTCTTTGCTCTCGGAGCAAAATAAAAAAAGTAAATGGGAAAGGTGCAGCTCCCTGAGAGGAAGCCAGCCGCGGATAATGACTGGGTGTGGTCTGGCCTGCCTGCCCCATAAATCCTCCCCCCCCCTCCCAGAACAGCGTGTCCCATCCCTTGTACTCCCTCCTAGCAATTATTGCATCTGTTTGGGGATCTCTGAAGCCTAAATAATTTCTTTAAGAACTTGGCTAATGTCCCTCCTTAGCCAGGAGAAGTTATGAAGAGACCCGTGGGACAACATTATAAAAGATAATTGGTCAAACCTTTGTAGTGGCGGCCAGTAATAACCCCTCATGGCAAGAAGGTTCCTCTCCTGCTGCCCTCCTGAAGCCTGGTAGGGACGGCGCCTGCGTGTTGTGCTACTCTAGGTAGGGGCTATGCAGTTACTCGCCCCAGGACTACCCTTGAGCGCAAGTTCCTGAGCTAGATGATGTGTGAACAACAGAACTGTGTAAAAAAGTAATGATCTGGGTTCTCAAGAATTTCAAGAAATTTAAGCCGGGCATAATGGCAAAAGCCTGAAATCCCAGCACTCAGGAGATGGAGGCAGGAGAATCCCAGCGAGTTTGAGGCCAGCCTGGGCTATATGGTGAGTTCAGTCCAGTTTGAGCTACACAGCAAGATCCTGTCTCAACCGAAAATAAAAGAAAGAATTTGAGGGAGATGATACCTGCGGTATAAGGCCTTGGGGATGTGAACAGAGAGGAGGTAAAATGAGGGGCTGTAGAGATACAGGCGGGAGGAATTTTTGAGGAGTAGCCTTTTGCCAGTTTTACAAGATCGCTATTAGGACATCTCAGCAGAAATGTGGTGCTCTCTGTAGTTTGGGTATTTTCCCTCTAGGCAAAAGGAAAGCACTAGAGGTTCAGTGGAGTGATAACCTTCCAAGCCATGAGCTCAGCAATAATTCTCTTCATAGTGGATTTTTGCCAAACTGGTTTGTGATAGGACATAGAAAGGTGATTAAGTCTCCAGGGGACCTTCACACCTGCAGGTCCCTCTGCCTTTCTGTCAGCCTCCTCCTGGACACCCTCTTCTGCTTCTCTGCCTGCCGCTGCCCCTCTGTGCTGTCAGGTTTCTGCTCAGATATTCTGAGTAAGACGTGCCCCAGCGCTGAGTTTTCCATAGTCCCACCAATGTTTCCTGTTTTACCCTTCTTCACGTCTCCGCCACTCCCTTCCGCATGCTAGAAGATGTGTTTGGCTCATTTCCCATACTAGACCCTGAGCTCCGTGACAGCAGAGATTTTGTGTGGGCCACTGCCTTCTTCCCAGGCCCTGGAAGACTGTGACACTGAAAGTGCTCAATAAAGACTGGGTGAATGGATGATCCAAGACTCTCCTGGGGCACAGGCGAGAACTGGCAGTTGCAACATGACAGTACAGCAGTTGTAAAAAGCAGAGTAATGCTTGAGAAACACAGAGAAGGGACAGGTAGGTGGAGGAGGTGGTCATGGAGGTGTCATTTTGTGGCATCTTACAAGAGGCCGGGGCTTCTTGCTGTCAACATGGCAGGAATGAAACTTCAGTGAGCTGGGGGCGCGGTGCATGGCTGGAGTGACAGAAGGCAGGACTGCAGAGCTCTATAATGAGGAGAAGGCACCTGCAGTTTCCATTCCAGAAGGGTGACTGGAGAGAGGCTCCAAGGAGGAACCGGTGTGGGAAGTTTATTCCACTCTCGAGGTTGGAGAGCTGGAAGCAGGAGAACAAGACAAAGCACAGAGCTGTTCTACCCTTAAAGGAGGGGCTCCGGGAGACAGAGCCAGGGCCGAAATGACTGTCAGCCTCCTGACGGACAGTGTAAGGGTCATGCATCAGAAGACTGCCACCTGGCTTTCGGGCCTCCTGGAGGTCTACGACTTAACTTTTGTCCCTGTGGTTACTTATCTCGCCGATAATGTGGGAGCTGTGTAAGACACAGGGACAGGACATATAAATTACCATCAAAACCCATTGCATTTGGGGGCTAGCAGGAATTTCAGTTAGTTCCGTCTCCACAGGAAGTTGTTTTTATGGTTGGTTAAAGTGGACTTCTATATTTCCACTCTTACATGCTTGAGCTATACTGGTTTTCCACTGTCTCAGAGTCTTAAACAGGAATTTTCAGGAGGCACCCTGAGGGCAGTGCCGCTGATCTCACATTTTAAAATTTAGTGTATTTTGCAGGTAGTAATTGATTTCATTGATTAAAGCCATCTGTGGGGTTACAAAGGTCTGCCTTCACCTGTCCCAAACATGTGCCCCAGGCAGCACAGTATAGGGGAAGAGATAATGAAGAGGTTCCCCAAGACCATAACTCTTTCCTGCCTTTGATGAGAATTAATTTTGTGTCCGTAGCTTATCAGGACCTCACTTTGCTCTTCTGTGCAATGAGAGCTTTAACCTATCCTGGTTCTTGGTTTAAACATT